AACTGGTCCGTGGCGCAAAAAAGGTTGGGGACCGCTGCTCTTAATTGTTATGACGCGTGTTCAAAACGCAGAGAGGTGCGCTCGATTTGCCACACGGAGCAGCGCGAGAGTAAAGCACGAGGGAGGGGCTAATAATCGGCTCAGTCATTTTTAATGATCGTTGAAAGCCCAGATCGTAATCGAGATTAAAATTCGATTAATTGAGCAGCCCTAAACTTAGCACTCAGGAAGCAACAAGGAAGGAAACGTGTGTTTGGTCCATTACTGGTGTGTTCCAACGATTCCTCTCAGCTATAACTGACATACTGTTGATTTCTCTTTAAATGGTGACACATTTGTAAGGAAAGTGAATTTGTGGGTTGTACCCAAACCTTTCCACATCTTCTCTGCTACGTCAAACGTCTTAGTTTGCTGTTGACTGCTGTCGTTTATTGAATCGGACAATCGAAATCTGACAAAACAAGACAAACTGAGAATTTCTAAGAGGAGCCGGAGCAGGATGTGGAAGAAGCATACGCAGCCCCAACAGCCTGGCACCGCCTCCTCCTGCAGGTCACACACTGCTGTGGGGTCGTCAGCCAGTGTGGCTGCGTCGGTCAGTCTGGCTCAAGCTAATTCCACAAGTGTTCAGCTGGGTTGAGTTTCAGATCTGCAGGCAAGACGCTCCACCCTCTGCACTCGTGAACTGGAGGTAGTGTCTGTTAAACTGTGGGGGCGAGTGCTGTCATCTGGATGGACAGAGTTCAGTCCCAGACTCTGGAGATATGGGACTGCTGCTGCTTGCATAATATTCAGATCTCTGCACTGAGATTGCCTCCAACATTGCTTTAGTGGGAGATGCTGGCCCACACCATCGCACGGCCTCCATCAAAAGCTGTTGCAATGAGCATCACGTTCCTCCACACGTTCAGGTTCCAGTGCACGCGTTGCTGACAGCAGCACAAATGGTCTGTTGGTGAAGGGCAGGCGTCCCAGCAGACATGTGAGACTGGAGACTGACCGTGTGCTGCAGGGTCAGTAGGTAGGTAGCTGCTGACCATATCGTCCTGCTAATCTGTAGCAGACTCTGTGCATCAGTACTGACAGGGTTGTCTTGTTGGGGCACCAGCTTCACAACCTGTCTCTGACTTCCCTCTACATGACGATGCTGCAACCATCAATAGCAGAATAAGCTGTTGCATTGGCAGAGAAGATCTGGCAAGTTTTTCATGGATGCAACCCACACACTCAACTCTGCTGCTCAACCCACAGAAGCATTTTCCTTACAAACGTGGCGCCTTTTATAAACAGTAAAGACTTATTGACAAGAAGCAGTGTTACAGCAAAGAAATAACTGCCGATCCAAATCAAGACTAGGCTTAGTCACGTACTAAAATTAATGCTAAATAACAGGAACCGTTTATTTTCCACAAGACTGGCAGGTATGGGAAACAAATGGAAATCCTTTTAAATTCCACAGTGGCATCATGGTGCTTTCTCCACTTTGTGAACAAGCTACAATGAAAACAAAGCTCCGAACCTTTCTGCAAATCACCCCACAGAGGTGCGTGTGAGAGTGCAAATGTCAGATGCAGTCAGATTGTGCCCAGGTACAAATAGCGCAGGTATTCTGGTGAATTCACACCATGCGAAGTCACGCCATGTGCTGCCCCCACTGAGCGCTATGCAGACAGCTTGCCCACAAAACCAAAGGGGTGATTTCCAGAGGTAAGAACGTGCCTGGTGGAGACGACTTCCTGCTGCTTGTTACATGTGAAAAAAGGACAACTGTGGAAAACATCCCGTCCTGGGGAGTTTAGCTTTTCCAAACGGCCTAAGCAGCTTTTATCTGTTCCTAAACCGCTGGAAGCGCCTGCTGGAGGG